CTCAGGCAATTCTAGTTACTCGCGAAAAATGATTCATTATGTAGTAATACAAGAAAGAGAACGATAAATAATCAGTAGAAGATAACGAAAGGGTCATTAAGTGCATTTATTAGAAGTGAACGATTCATAAAAATGACATCTTGCAGAAATTTCATACGAAAACTGAATCGTGCCCAATGTGTTAAATTATTTTGAAGAAATTTTCTATACATTTATTTTTTTTATGAGTCGATTCTTTATGGAAAATAGAGTTATGAAAAAGTTTTTTGGTTTCTACGACTCTTGTTCATTTTATCATAGCTGTTGGAGCAGAATGGCTCTACAGATATGCAGAAAGATACATATTTTGTTTCGTCATTATTTCAGTCAAATTTGTCTGTTTATATTGGTAGACTCCTTATTCGAAAGAACTCGAAACACTACAGCAGAAGACACCTCGAAGTGTATCTTGAAGCAAGTTTTGCTGTTAAACCATTCTTTTCCTTAAACAATGTAATTTCTTTGGTAAATTTTTTGTTTGTAACCATGTTTTTAGTATGATAAAAAAAAGTGATCGACATTTTAATTTAGCATATCTTGTAGAGCATTTTGTCATTACAAAATGATGTAATAGGGAACCTAAAAATGAGGCGTAAGGAAAGACCGAAGACACTGTACTATATCACTTATTGGCATAAACTTCTGCTTTTGTTTCGATATTTTGCTACGGATTTCTCTTGGAACAGTAGATATTCTATCAATACCACTATTATATTCCGAATAAAGACGAAACGTTGAATCGATCTGTATGTATCTTACGAATTTTACAGCAACTTTTTATTCAAAAATTTACCTCTACCTCTATGGGTTCGACGAACGAAGTGATTCGCACAAAAACAGCAGATCTCATGACTCATACATATGCCTATTTGTGCTCTATTATCAGTTTGTCAGATTAGCGCTTATTTTTCAGCTATAGAAGGAGGTTTTTTTCAGTTCACCCCTCTGGATGGAACAGAGAGGTACGTAACCATGAATTTTCTCCACACTCTGTTTTCATGGGTTAGGCATCTGAAACTTTGTGTTATAGTTTCATTTTATAACCTTGAACGGTGTTTGCCTTTGTATAAATAAAGTTCGATGAAATTTATTTTACTAATCCAGCCCGCGGGGAATAGGAATGAATTCTTTTGTGAGAAACAAAGTTTCTATCAAGCATCTAAGATATACGCATAGATCCATTCAACTTTTGATCCTAATTCGGACTACGATATCGGCTTTGATTGAATGTTTACTTTTCTAAGGAAAATTCATAGCAAAACATACAACAATTAAGATTACGTTTCATAGTTTTGTAGACGAGAAAATGATCAGCAAAGTGTGCTAAATTAAACTGTCCAGCAACCTTTTATCATACTACACTATGGAGAAACTATAAAATTCGCCAAAAAATGTCAATGTTTTTCAGAAAAAGAGCTTTTAACAAGTAAAATTTGTTTCAAAACAGCAAGAGGTGCTTTATGCAATTGTACGAATTCTTTCAAATGAGGTGTCTCGTGATCTGAACAGACAAAAGTTGACTCAGATAATAACAAAAAATGGCTACCTTTTCGCGTGTTTTAGAACCCCACTCTATTTTCACAGCTACAACTCAGTCAAAAACAGTGGTAGCAACTCAAGAATTTCTCATGACCCTACTTTCCTATAAAGAAAGAACTGATCAAAATAAACGTGGATCAAAAAGTTTGCATGAAATGAACATTCTCGATGGACTTATAGAATTTCCTGTAAAAAATTATTATAATATTGAAAGACCAACTATCACACCGAATATGAGTACAAATATAGTCCATTCCATTTGTATAAAAGTATCAAAAACAATTAATAACATTTTTTTTCTTCATACCATTCAACTAATTAGTAAAATGTAACAGCAAATCACATAAAAACTAACTTTACATTGATCTTGCCTACTACAAGCTATTTCCTCTAGAATTCAATTATGATTGTTTTTCATCAATGAATGTACTTTTTTTTTCTTTCTCATTGCAAAAAGAGTAGTAATGAGTCATTAAGAACGTCAGTATATTTTTTATTTTATCGTTTCACAATTCTTTTCCAAATATTAAAACCAGAAATTCGCTACTACAGTTTAAAGAAATTTATACTTCTTAATACATGAAGAATTCAATGCAACATGTTTCATCTATGACCGTAAAAGTGTAATAATTTAGTTTCTTTTATGATTTTTTCAAAGAAAAAAACACTTTATATTTTTCTTGCTTTTCCTTTTTTGCGCATTTCAATCTCAAGTGAAATCCTCATGTCAGCTGCGCCATGTATACATGTACGTGTGCGTGTGCGTGAAGCAGTATGTTTCTAAATAAACATACGTTAAGCTCAACAATCGAGCTAACAATGCATGACTTTGTATTTTTTTCTGGATGAATCGTGGACTATATTTCAGTGAAGTTTGTTTTGAATAGTACATAATTTTTCTAGTTTTTCTTAGTCAATTGAAGAAAAACATTTTACTTGTAATTTTTTTGAATATCATAGATAATTTTTTGTTTGATTCCTCAATCATTTGAGAAATGTGTTTTATTTGAGGTTGATTTGAACGTTTTACATCAATTTCCATTATTTCTCTCAATAAATTCCCGGATCCATTTTATTTCAGTTTTTTTAGGAAAAACAGCCAATGAAGATTTCTTGGCTTAAGATAACTAATAAAAGCAACATACTCGCTATAAAATTAGGTTGAAGATATCAAGAACAAATAATAGGAAAGACCCAGTTCATATATGCTCAACCTGAAACTTCAATTTAATTATTGAAAAGGTAGTTCAAATATTCAGCTACTCGCTTTTCTCAGAAAAATGGATTCCTGCACAGCTAAAATCTATTCTTTGAAGCGCACACATCATGACATCAGATGAGAATACAGAGAATGAAATATCTGCAACAGTGTATTTTCGCACACAGGGATCACGTCTCCAGAGAAAGTACGGCGAAAGAAATTTCAACAAAGAAACAGGAATAGCTAAATAGTTAGACAGTTGAAGTTCAATCAATCGAAAAGAAATCATTGAGTAACTGAATAATTCAGCATTTAAACTTCATGTATGGAAAAGGGGAATAATTGAATAGGTGAACCAAGTTTTCATCAGTTGTATCCTAGTTTCAGGTTTGACGCTACTGTAGAATTGATGCAATAAATATCAACACTCTAGATCTGACGAGCTTGATCAAGGAAGAGTAGATGCTAAGAACTGAGAAATATAATGAAATAAAGTAAGAGGACGCTTTTCTCGGCATTTACACAACATATGAGTAATACATTTGATCGGAACATCATTTGCTTTCCTATATGTTCTCTTTACGAATTGAATTTATTCTTTTTTCTTGAGATCTGTGGATATCGCTCTCATGCTATGATTAATATATATTTCCTTGAGTATTTATCGATGGGTATCAACTTCAATTTAGGATTTCTATGGGTATGTATATCACAAAGACACGGATAACTTGACTAAAGTTGGCACGAATGCATTGATAAATCTCTAGATTAATGCGTAGTCTTGTTAAAAGTAGCTGCTAATTTTTGCAGAGAGACCTGAAATCCACCATGAAAATCATGAAAAAGTAATGCGTTGAGTCGAGGTTAAGCAAGGCACACATATGAGCCTTACTGGTTATACATATTATATATCACGGCAATCGAATTATCTATGATGATTACATGAAATAAGAAAACCTAATAAGTCACGATTATTCTCACTTTTCCCCATATTTACTTTTATGCTTCATTGAACCGAATAATACTTGTGGTTCAAAAAGATCGATTTAAATAACAATAAGTTTTATTACATTGTTATTATTATTTCTATTTCAAATATAATGAAAAGAAAAAGACTTTTTATTGTACCAAGATTTCAATTTCCAATGCAAAAAATTTTTGAAAAGTTCAAATCATTAAGAAAAAGATTTTAGTTCATAAGACAAATGGATTACGTTCTATTTTTTGTAATTAGTAACGTCCAAATATCATGAGAGTAATAAAATCAAAATCAAATACCACAATACTAAAATTATTGTTGTCATCTTATTATGTCCATCACCTTAAATAAATAACTAAGTTAAATCAATCAATGTTATATGAGCTTACTTGACGAATTAGATGGGACTTTAATTGTACATTCAACTGTAGCATTTGCTGGAAAACGAGGTTGGTATATAGTTGTAAATGTATTTAATGGACATTCTAGTGCTGGACACCCCTCTAATAGATACGAATAAGGTTGATTGGAATCTGTTACATTTAGATATTCCACTTTAACATAGTATGTTGAATCTAAATTAAGCTACTAAATTATTTCATTAATTTTTAAAGAATTTACTCTGTTTAAGAAGATCAAGAAATATAGCTGATGCAAACTAAATTAAATAAAAGTAAGAATAAAACATGAGCAAAATAAAATAAGATGAATTTTACTGATGGTTGATGTGGGTAATTAATACCAAGAAAAGAAAGAACTGGACTGATTGTTAAATCGTGCTACGTAGATATAATAACTGAATGTAAAATTGTTATCAAGCATTTAATACTTACAGCAGAATATATTTTTACTTTTCGATATGTTCTACCTTGACTTGCATCATTCATATTTATCCAAATGTCTTGTATTAACGGACCTATACAAATATATCTTTTTTTCACATTGAATCTATTATAATTTGACTAACAAACCTCCTCGTATTCGTTTACTGTCATTATCTGAATAAGATAAATAAAAAAAAAGGTCACGAATATCGGATAAATTTTTTAGAACAGCTTCATCAACCCATGTTGGTGTTTTATTATAAATGCGCTAAGAAAGAAAAACATAAAATTTTATTAAAAAGCGAAGGTATATTTGGTTTTACTTCAATAAAAACCGTATCAGCAACATATACGGTATTAAGCATATTAACATGGCTCAAATTTGTCCATATTTGAATCTTTTTAAAAAAATCCTAAAAAGAAAAAAAAGTATTTTTAATTACTAAAGTAATTTATCCAAATGATACCTATATTTTAACTCATATTCTGTACATGAGAAAAAATAACTATCCTTTGTTACTCGAAACTAAAACGAAATACACTAACAATTCATGTATTAACGAATCTGTTTATATTTATGGTATTATACAACAACACGACAAGCTTTCAGACTGCTAACGAGTGAATGAGATAGAAAATAGGTGAAAAAATACGAGAATAGTCAGCTAGTTTTGTTTCAAAGTATACAGTAAGAATTAAATACATACATTATAATATATACTCAGATTTTTAAATTGATCTGTCTGAGACATTTGTGTTTGAATTTGATCATATCTTGGACAAGTATTCATGCTCAATAACTAAACAAAGAAACATGTAATCAATTCTCCCTTTTTTCTTTTATTATTTTTCAAAACAAAAGCATACAAATTCTTGATCTTGTGGTACAGTATGAATTGGTACAGGTTGAATTGGAATTTTATCATCTGAAATATTATCTAATGGATAAAGACCAACTAGATTCGATTCAGCTGACATTAATGCTCGATCATAATCGGTTGAACGAACATAAATTTCATTAGCAATATAAGTCGTGTTTAAAATGGATCCATAACGGTCACGAAGATATTTTCCAAGACGATGTTGTTGTTCCATACCAGTAGTGGTTAGCTGACCATAACTGTAATAAGAACAATAAAAATTAATGAAAACTTGTAAGTTTCATATTATACCCCACTGGCCAATCTTTCTCTCGCATTGGATCTGTTGGAAATGTTGCGACAGGCGTTCGTTCTCCATGTCGAAATATCTAAAATACAAGGGAAAGAAAACAAGATTCGAAGTCTTGAACTTACTACATGAGCGGCAATAAGTTCCATTTTATGTCCATAGATTTGGTTTAATAAAATACACAAAATAATAATCAAATTGTCTTCCATAATAACTCGAAGAAAAACGAATCTGAAAAAAAGACAAATTTTTTTACCAACTTTTAACATTTTCATTTGAAATTTAGTCATGTAATGATTTTATTATTAATTTATAAAGATTAATCTCCTCTATTCATTATTTGTTATTATTGATTGTGTTTTGTTATTCAGTTATGTTCACATGTAGACGAATAATAAAAGGAAAAAACGAAGTCAGACACAATAATACATTAATATGTAACGTATATTTAACTGAAACCAATTATATGTCGAACCTATCATGAATTATATTATGTAATTAGTTGAATAATGAACAGTTCATTATTGAAAAGTTTAATATTCAACAAAATATGATGATCAAAATCAAAATATCTATTTTATTAGTCATACAGTATTAGAAAACAATATACCTTTAGAATATATGCAGCCGAGTTTTTTTCTGGTTGTTAAAAGTAGTAATAGACAAAACAACACAAGTTTAACGCAAAGATAAGCAAATGAAAATTTACACAACGATGACTTGATGCTAAATGACAGCATGCATGAAGTTCTGATTATCTTTCACGCTTTGATCTCAAATTTAAGTTGAAGTCTGATATTTTTTCGGAAAGATACATTATGATCCCGGAAAAGAAGTACCATTAACATCAGATCCTTTTTTTGTAATAATTTTAAATTAGTTATATAATAACAAAAGTGATCCCAGAAAAAGCTATTTTTGTTTCTCGCACAACATAATTGATATCGGAAAATAATGGTATCCAGAGATGGTGGATTCCCGTTTCGTCGAAATGTAATACATTTAATTGCTTTACTTAAAAACGAATCAGAACAACGCAGATGAAGGCAAAAGTGATTTTTCGACGAGAGAGAAACTAACCCCAGAGACAATGTACAACTGTTTTTTTATCAAGTGATTAATCTGATCAACCTATAAAAGAAAACAGTTAAATTTTTTTACTATATTATTTTCTTTTTTTTCTGACAAACTGTTCTACCGTAATGTTTGTGTCTTTTCTATAAAATGTCTTGTGTAATTAAATCTTATGGCTAAGATGAGATCACATAGCTATTCAATGTGCGTCATTTTTAAAGACGTTGCCATGACTTGCTAATTTTCAGAGATCAATTGTGTACTTTTTCCGAAAAAAAAAGGATCTGGAATCAAAAACGTCAGTGTCAATTTTTTTCAATTTACGTATATACTTTTTTGATCTCCTCTATTTTTATATGTAATAGAAGATGTTTATTGTATTTCATGACAACTGTTGTGTAGAAGCAGAAATACACTGCATCATTTATTATTTCGAAAAATGACAGATATCAAGGAGCGGAAACATTGATTCATTCTATATTTACGCTACAGTTATCATGTTTTTATTTTGTTTGTCTTAATTGCGCATTTCTTTATACAGTAACCATTACTTGCCAATTATAAATTTTTATTTATTTTCAGCGTCTGTATTATAATAAAAAGTCCACACCATGTCGATTATGATGGTGACAGAATGAACAAACAATATAAAGCGGTTCTATTAAAATGTTCATCGGAATAATACAATTAGTTTGTTAGCTATGCTAAATCTGAGTAGATGTCTGATTCGAGTTGCAGTTGAAACGAAAATCGTAAAAACATGTTCCGGCAACTCAAGGCACAAAAAACATGTTGAAAGCTGGAAATTGGAAATGCTTTAAGGTTCGGTACAATATAACTGTATGATACTTAAAATACGTGTAAAATACAGAGAAGTTGTCTACTATAATAGCAATAGAGTTGGCATCTGTAGCATCCATTTTGTTATCATAATAAGTGGAAATTATTCTAGTTGCTGCATTAATTCTTCCTCATTCAAGTATATATATATATATATAATCAGTAGAATGTATGAGCAATCGTGTGTATCGAGCATTTTCTAACTGATATTCCACTGTCAAGCGAAACCATTATTAGCAAAATCTTATTCTTATTATTGTGTGTTATACTCGTGTCTTAAAATATAGGTTTGTGCAGTTGACATGCGGAACCTTAATATAATTATAGCCATGCACCTCGAATATGAGAAAAAGACCTTTTTTTAGTATACATGTATCCACGTTTTCTCGAATGTATCTTTTCTTCGGTATGTCTTGTCACCAAACGTTCTATTCCCTATTTGTTCTTCTACCTAAGTGCCAGTATGCAAGAGACTATTAGATTTTATTTTACATTGAGGTCTCAATACACAACCAATGTGTGTAAGAAGTTATCAGTCCATTTTATAATGGGACATATTATCGTTAATCAAAAGTATCGTTTTGAATCGATAATTGATGAAATAAAACGAGCTTCAATACGGCAAAAGTTGAGTATATAAGATGAACCATAAAAACTAAGCTGAATCTGAGAGAATAGGTCTATGAGAAGATAAAAAAAAAGAGCCTCTTACAGCACGAATGCTGAGTAAAGATCAGACATGTTTTTAGATGATCACTAGTACCGTTTGAGTGCTGTAAAGTTACTATAATACACCTAATGTATGGTAAAACTAAAATCGACAATGTGATGACCATGTCTCAGATAATCAGTTGAACATAAACAATGATGCTCCAGTTATAATGCAATTATCTAGATCATAGCTAATCAGTGTATGAAATAGAGATACACAGGTAATTTATAGTCAAACGAATCGTAGTAGAGTTCAATCTCATCGAAATGAACTGGCACATAAGAGGAATAGAGACCATACTCAAGTATGAAGTTTATTATGCATCTTTTACGTTTTTTGGCATTCCAGATGTAAAAAACCTTTAAAATACGATGTACTTTGAAGTATTTTTTGATAAAAATCAGTATTAATGTTCTGTTCCCGGCTCCAGCTCCTAGCAGACTCCCGAATTCGATCTCGGTATACTGGTGTATAGCTATTGACTTTCGGTTTTATTATATGAATTTCTAGGAGGTAAACCTATCACAATAAGAAAGTAGTAGCTCCAATAAAACTTCATTTATGTATGATTTTCTAACAGACCTTGTACTACAGAGTCATAAGATATCTTACTCAAGTTTTAATTTAATCTAAGTCTTAACAAAATTTCTACAGGCTTTGGAATATTTTAAGATCTGGAGGAGGCTTTTAGTAGAAAGAAGCAAAGAAGATCGATTAGTTCATATTTGCAATCGATCATTAGACTTTCAATGTATAGTGGAAAATTTTTCCGAAGGCACTATGCCCTTATTTCAAATAAAAATGCTCATAGTATCGATTGAAACATACTCAACAAAGCATAATCCTATGAATATCTTTGTTATTTCGGAGTGAGGAAAGCTTTTTAACAGAGTTCATACAGTGAGTCAACTTTCTTTGTAGACATCTTTTCTCCACTTGTTATCATGAACCATTACAATCCAATTCCTTTTTCTCTAAAACAAAAATATATAAATCAGGTTATTATATTATTGCTATCAATAACACTATACCTTGACTACAACTTTTTTATATAGTACTATGCTTAATAATGATTCAGGAGTGTACCTACAATGTGAAGCATTGGAAAAGGGTTACAAGAACAGTTGATTAATTATGAATTGATCAGAAATTAAGCAGCGAATCTTATTGTCTGTACGAATAATTTTTTGGTCAAAGCATTTGGATTATAGCTTCTGATATGACAGTATACACAGTTTGGAACAGAGCCTCTTTGAAATTATTAAACTTCTAGAAGAACTGATTGCTTCATGCTTTAAGAAGAATATAACAAGATTACGCCGAATTAGAAACAAATAATATACTAATATTTTATTAGGAACCTAAGAAATTCTTTTTCAGAAACAATTGAATTAATGCATAGTATTTGTAAGAATCTTTGGAAGAATGACTTACTTTCAGAAGTTTTGTATATTACATAACAAATCAGACTGTATTGCAATGTCAACCTAGAGAAAACATCTGTTACACCTTTTTATTTAGTACTCAATGCAGAAACTTACTCTCGGTTAGCTATGGATTTCCTCTTCATCAACAGTATATATTAGTTTTCTCAGAAAATCACCAACGTGCGGGCGCATCAGCACTAGTGCAATTCGTCGCATATAGACGAGAGAATACATTAATTAAGTAATTTTCTTTAGTACATTATATAATTTTATCATTCGAGAAAATGTTTTTCACAAATCCTCATGACTCTGTGGACGATTTTTTTCCGATAAAAAAATAGGTATCAATTTACTGTTACCTAAATTTAAATTAAACTTCAATCTTGGCTGGTCTTGAATTGAAAGAGATTTCAAGCCTTTTTGATCCCATCAACTATGAACGGTTTGGAAAATGGATGACTTAAGCAGCAGTGCATTGGAAGTAAAAGGTACTAATAAGTCTTTGGAAAACTCAACAAAGACCTATTTTGACTTCAAGAAAACACAAAAAGAAATTGGCCTGTAACTTTCAATGAAGTGAAAATCAATATGAATTAGCAGTATTCTAAAATTTATCCGCTGCAAATTCAAAAACTTTTTTCTTATCTAAGAATACTTCAGTGTGATGGATTTAAAAGACACCTTATCAATTCATTGAGCAGCTTTGCATTATGAAAAAAGTCGCAAAAATAGCCGAACCAACTATATAGTTTAAGTAAGAGTTGAATA